TGGCACCTACAGGGTATCTTAGTCTTCTGCCTGTGAGTAAGCTGTGAGTTTCTCATTTAAAGAGAAAATGGAGTTAGTTTAGCTAAGTACAATTCTGTCCCAGGGACCACCCCAGGTATCCATCTTCCACACACACTGTATCATGAGCATGAGATTTATTAACATGACAATTTTAAAGCATTGCAAATATTCATGTTTGCATTTTTCCCCTACTTTGTGGAGAATGTTTAGGACCTCCGTGGGTGGCATTCGCTTCCTTAGAGAGGCCCGCCTTGTACCTACATTGGCGTATTTTCAGAACCATGCTGAGATATTTCTCTTCCTCCAGGCATTTTAAAATCACATTTGCATTTAACTATCTATATTACAGTGGCATAGTGACTGTTATGGATGTTCAATTTAAATTTTGTATGTTCATAATCTTTCCTTACCATTTCTTAGTGCACCCTACCCGTTTCACCTTTCTATTTTGACCTTTTTGTTGTGCTTGCTTTTCAAGGTTGCAGATATCTTGTAATCGAGCCAGAGAATTCTGATGGAATGTGGTAGACTAAAACAAATAAATGAATAATAATGAATAAAAAATAAGCACTTTTTCAAGGCACTTCATTGATAACTGCGATCTGGTACACAGTCAGGTGCATTCTGGTACCTTTAAAATCAAGTTAGATTTCAGCAATTATAGAACATTTTTTGGGTTTACATCGAGCATTTCTTTTCTTTTTTTTAAGCGCAGACGTAAACATGCAATGAGACACACATTTTCGGCAGGAACGCTCCTAAGCTTTGGCTGCTCCCCTCAGCGGGAAAGGAATATGTGATTATCCTGATAAAATGTGAGGATTAATTCTCAGATAATTATTTTACTGCGTCTCTTTATGATTTTGGTTGAATTCATTCCTTTAGACAAATTTCAACAGCACTGCAAACCATTACGAAGTGGTTGCACTTCTCTTTTTTTACCATTCACTCTGACCTTCGTGTTACGAAATGTTCCTCAGAAACTGTGGGTCTCCCTGGGAGATGCACCCTTGTGCAGCTGTGTGCATGTGTGTGCGCGTGCTTGTGCTTTTGCTGGAGCTGCCAGCAACGTGGCTGTGCTTGCGGGAGCAGCCTCTGCAGCAGCTGCCCCAAATTTTCAAAGGGTGCAGTTGCTTTCTTGCTTTGAGGAGGAGTGTTTTGCAAAGAGCCACTTGCAAATGCTTTGCACAGCCCTGCCAAACACAGTTCCAAAGGGTAAGGTATAAAATGCAAAACTGGGTGATGGAAATATAAAATGGGCCGTATCTGAAATCCTTGAGATAATTCAAAAAGAGCTGCCTGGAGTAAAGATCAAGGGCTTGCCTGCTAGACAAACTCTCCAGGAAGGACCTGCCACAACTGGGGACGACCACCGAAAAAGCCCATTTGACTCACTTGGATCTTTTTAAAACCTCAGTATGTGAGGACACTTTGAGCAGAATCCCTCAGGGCAGGCACATATGGAATACCTTAAGCCTTACTTTTGGGTGTGTGTTTGTGCCTTCAAGTCAGTTTTTGACTCCTGGTGTTTGCC